ACGCTTCCTGGTTGCCCCTAAGTGCCCTCCCCTGCCAGCCTGATCGCTTGTAACAGCTTCTGCCTTGGCCCCCAACACAGTGGCTTTGTCCAGAAGGATGTCTGGATGGATGTCCGAAAGATGTCTGGTCTAATTAGCATATTACCCTTTTTTTAGTATAGATAACATATATGCCCCTAAAAAGTTATTTTTTTTACACACTTTAAATTAAATTATACAGTACATATTCAACTTCTTTTACCTGTTTTTTTTTTTCCTTCTAAATATATCAATTTTTTTTTAATGGAAAGGAAGGGAGAGGGATAGAGAGTTAGGAACATCAAAGAGAGAGAAACATTGATCAGCTGCCTCCTGCACACCCCAACTGGGGATGTGCCTGCATGCCCTTCACTGGAATCAATTCTGGAACCCTTCAGTCTGCAGGCTGATGATCTATCCACTGAGCCAAACCAGTTAGGGCTCCCCTACTTTTTCCTTTTTTTTTTTTTAGATTATCCACGTTTGTAGATATGGCATTAGTTCATTTTTCCATTGATTTTTAGAGAGAGTGGAAGGGAAAGGGATATATAGAGAGAAACATCAATGTAAGAAACATCCCTGCAGTTACCTTCCTTAGGAGCCCCGACCAGGGATCCAACTTGAAACCCAAGTGCCAGGTTGTGCCCTGACCTAGAATCAAACCTGCAACCTTTCCATGCACAGGACCACGCTCATGCTCAACCAACCTATCTACTTCAGCCTGGCCATTATACGATTTCTGGAATTTTATTTCAATTAATTCTTGCAGTCTGTGGGTTAGGTAATATTCACATTTTGCTGATGAGAAAAAAAAACCAACCTCTTCATTTTGAGACATTTGAGCACTTACTAGATTCTAGACCAGTGATGGCAAACCTATGACACATGTGTCAGAGGTGACATGCAAACTCATTTTTTTGCTTGATTTTTCTTTGTTAAACGGCATTTAAATATATAAAATAAATATTAAAAATATAAGTCTTTGTTTTACTATGGTTACAAATATCAAAAAATTTCTATAAGTGACATGGCACCAGAGTTAAGTTAGGGTTTTTCAAAATGCTGACACGCCGAGCTCAAAAGGTTCGCCATCACTGTTCTAGACTGTGGGACATGTACAAAAAATCCTTAGGCATGCCTCGACTTTCGCGATCAGGATCATGGGCCGCAGGCAAAGCAGCTCCTGGGTCCCGGGGGTGCTGCCTTGCCTGCGGCCTGGCTTTCCGATTGCAATCACGGGCTGAGGGGCCGGCAGAGGCGGCCACGATTCCCCAATCCAGGGCCGGGGCCACCTTTGCCCTGCCCCCTGGCTCTTGCTTGCTGCCTGGGTTTCTGATCACCGTTCTTCTGTCCTTCCCCTTTTGCCTCCCATCATTGTGCCTATGTATGCAAATTAACTGCCATCTTTCTTGGCAATTAATTTGCATATCGCCTGGATTAGCCAATGGGAAGCGTAGTGAAGGTATGGTCAATTACCCTGTTTGTCTTTTATTAGATAGCATAGGACAAATTATTTTATGATGAATTACAATGAATTGGCCTAATTTTTTTGTTCTATAGGGGTTTGTAAAATATAAAGTATCACATTAAAATAAGTACATGGGACTTAGAACCTGATTTGTAATAAGATATTTTTTTAATCTGACCAGTAAAATAATTTGCACATATTTAAATTAGCACATCAGTGGGTCTTCAACCTACAACACTCTATAACGACCACTTACCAAGTCTCTAGTTCTGTCAACATTACTGGGTTTTCCAGATACTGTACTGTAAGTGTTTCCAATAGGCTTCTCAATAGGGAGAGGAGGTGGGCTTTGTGGATCCTCATGTAAACCTGGAAAAATAGCAGTAATTCATCAATAATTTCTGGTCTTTGGGGATTCGAAAGAATGAAATGACTGCAGCTTGGTTCCTTAGGAAAATAGCTACTGTAAAAGATCCACACAAAGATGGATAGCTAGCCATGCAAGTGAGAAAGAACTCCCAGCAAACTTCAGAAAACTGATGGGTTAGTAGACATTAGTTATGAATTATTTTATAGAGAGTAAAAATAATGCTAAATCATTATGACAGCAGCCAACATTTTTGAGAACTTTATATGTGCCAGGCATTAAGTTAAGGTACTTTATTCACATACATTTCTCCAACTAACATCTATCTATGCACTAGATCTGTGCACCCCACTAGCTAGTAGTTATATGTGGTGATTTAAATGTAATTCTTACTTACTTAAAATTAAATAAAATTAAGATTTCAGTTCCTCAGTTACACTAGCCACATTTTAAGTACTCAATAGCCGCATATGGTTAGTGGCTACCGTATTGTACATCACAGATCTGAAATATTTCTATCTTTGAAGAAAGACCTATTGGACAGCACTACACTAAATAATATTCTACCCGTTTTTCTGATGAAGAAACTGAAACTGAGAAGATAATATATGAGCCAGCCAAGGTTTTAATGCTAGTAATTGTCAGAACCAGGGTTTTGAACTCAAAAGGCTATGCTCATTGTAATAGGCATGCTGCTTCTTAACAGGTGGGGTAGTCAACCTGCCCCCATCCAAATCATTAAATGTGGTTTGTAATCCATTAGCTCCAGATTAATGGGCATAACTGCCCCCTCAATTTAACAAATAATATCCTTACAGCCAAACTACATCCTTACCTCCGTCATCGTGGGCTCCCAACTTATTTTAAAAAGAAGAAAACACAGATGACCAGATTTAATAGTGACAACTAATTAAAACCTGTGTGCAAAAACACATGGAGAGAGGATGATTGCAACACACAAAGGAGGCTAAAACCCTCTTTTACGCATGGCGTAGGCATTTAAAGGAGGTGGGAGGTTCTCCCATTCTTTCAAAAGACACTCTGCCTCCATTTCACAGGAAAAACCTGTAGCAAGAGGATGATCTGCCAGGTTCCTATTTTATCCAGAGACAGGAAAACACTCAAAAGGAGGAAAATACCCAGGCCAAGTACTAGACAAACACTGATTTAAAGATAAGTGTTCTCAGTGAGAGACAGCACTGCTCTGGGAATTAAGACACAGGAACATTCCAACTCAGTCACCATCTGGAAGCCTTTCTCTGTGCTGCAGTTACCTTATTCTTAACAAGGAAGTAATGAATTATTTAGGATACTAGAGGCCCGATGCACAAAAATTTGTGTACTCGGGGGGGTTCCTCAGCCCAGCCTATGCCTGCTTGCAGTGTGGGACCCCTCGGAGGATGTCCACCCCACTGGGGACCCTCACTCCATGGAGGTTTGGCCAGCCTGGGTGAGGGGCTGATGGCTGTTTTCAGGCTGGTCACACCCCCTTTAGGATGGGGGGTGGGGTCCCCACTGGGGTGCCTGACCAGTCTGGGTAAGGGGCTGAGGGCCGTTTTCAGGCTGGCCACGCATCCTGGCGACGTAAGCTCCCAGCCTCTCCTTTATTTATTTATTTATTTATTTTTATTCTGGGATTTATTTACCTTCTATAATTGAAACTTTGTTGCTTTCAGTGGAGCTCAGAGCTGGGCCACGGCAGGCAGGGAAGCTTGACTTCCTCCATCACTGGAGCAAGCAAGCCTCCTGATCACTCCAGCTTCATGGCTGCCGGCCGCCACCTTGGTTGGGTTAATTTGCATATAGCCACTCTGATTGGCTGGTGGGCGTGGCTCAAGGCGTAGTGAAAGTATGATCAATTTGCATGTTTGTCTTTTATTAGTGTAGGATGATATTGTTGTGACAAACAATTACAGGTACAAAGTAGTAACAATATGCAAGGAGAGAGGAGACAGCTGACTGACAGGAAGGGACATAGGAATTATCCGGAGTGGGTATGTGGGGAGATGGAGATTTCCAATTTCAAATAATGTGGTCAGCAGAAGTCTCAAAGAGAAAAGTGGCATTTGAGCAAAGACCTGAAGGAATGGTAAAGAGGGGAGCCATGCAGATATTTGGGAAAAGAACATCCTAGTCAGAAGGAACAGGTCCCCAGGGGAAGGAGCTGACAGGTTCAAACAAGAGCCAGGGGTTTTGCACCACAAAGCTGTTCCTTCCTTCACGTGTCCATTCCAAGTTCTTCAGACACCAAAAGTCTTACTTTTCTTCCTCCACGGCATATATGCATTGCTTGATAATTGTAATGATAAAATTCTTGGGAAATAACTCTCGGGAAACTGGCACTTCATTTCTCTCATATATAGTTTCTCGAGCTTTGTCAGGATAATAAGTAAAGGTGCTTCCTCAAAATACCCGTTTCAGGATTTCAGAACTATTAGTCCAATTTATAAGGGTGCTGACTGAAGTAATATACTTCCTATATATAATGGGATAATATGCTCTCTATGATAGACATATATAACTTCATTTGCTATCAGTTTTAATTCCTTTCCTACCATATCTCTACCAGAGGCACCAGAGGATATTACAATTATTCTGAGTTTTAGTTTCCCTCTATTCTCTCTACTTAAAGACATTGTTAAAAAGAAATAAAATCCAAATTTACTGCACTAATTGTCTAAAGAATTGTAAAAAAAACCCAACTTGCTTTTAAATGTCCTAGACTACAAATGATAATAAATGGCTGATCACACATACTTTCAAAGCAGACATTGATAAAAGAGCATGTATTATCCCCAGGCTCTTGGAGAGCAAATAAAGAAGGCATAGAAGTGCTTACATTTTCCTGGTTTGGCTGGAATTCGAATCACAGTGGGCTTTCTGGTGGGTGCTGGTTGAACTGCTGGTTCTTTTGTTGGTTCTGTCTTTGTGGGGACCTGGAAGGGATCTAATGAAAAACACAGTTTATTTTGCATGTTTTAGTTAACACGGTCTCAAACAAAAAATCTCATTCATAATTAAAGAGTCATATTTTTCATGCCCCAGGGAAAACTATTCATGGATAAACAAAATCTCAGTTCGCAGAGACAAAAACAAAGTCGGAGCTCATGAAAAGAAATAACTTGATGCTCTGTAAATAATTCATATGGCTTTTCTTCCTCTCTGATGAGAGGGATCCAGGACAATCTTGAATTATGTAGAAGCTATCTTTCATGGGAGTGCAATCATTTCATAAGTGTCTGCCTGAAAATGAGGGGCAAGTGAACCGAAGAGCCAATTTTCCCTTAATGTGAAGCCTCCCAGGCCCCCAGGAAGAAAAGACCTCCGCTCCCCACACGCCTGTGCTGTGGAAAACTTACCCACATGCCTAGCACATGGTGGGTGCTCAGCAGAGTCTTAGATTTTAATACTTTAGTAAAATGACACTTCAGCAAAATGAAAAAGAAAAACGTTTTATTCTGAAAATAAGACATCCCCTTTCAAATATATCATTTCGGGGTAAGGATACATGACTTGGCATTTCTCTATCTTAACTGATTCATTTAAAATAGAGCCGAAACCGGTTTGGCTCAGTGGATAGAGCGTTGGCTTGCGGACCGAAAGGTCCCAGGTTGGATTCCGGTCAAGGGCATATACCTGGGTTGCGGGCACATCCCCAGTAGGAGATGTGCAGGAGGCAGCTGATCGATGTTTCTCTCTCATCGATGTTTCTAACTCTCTATCTCTCTCCCTTCCTCTCTGTAAAAAAATCAATAAAATATATTTAAAAAAAATAAAAATAAATAGTATATGCCCTGGCTGGTGTAGCTCAGTGGATAGAGTATCAGCCCAGCACCTAAGGGTTGTGGGTTCGATTCCTGGTCAAGGGCACGTACTTGTGTTACAGGTTCAATCCCCTGCACCTACCTGATGGTGTGCATGCAAGAGGCATCCAATCTCTCTCTCTCTCTCTCTCTTTCTCTCTCTCTCTCTCCCTCTCTCTCCTCTCACTTTCTTTCTCTGTCCCTCCCTCCTCCTATCTCTAAAAATCAATGGAAAAAATATCCTTGGGTGAAGATTACCAAAGATAAATAAATAGGCAGTATATGCTTAGAAAAAGTATTTTTTTAAAAAACATAACTGCTGAACTTTTTTCCTGAAAGGAATATTCTTTTTTTCTTTAATGTCAATGTTCTTTTCAGTAGTTTGGAAAAATGAATAAAATTTTTTGAAGATGAGAAATCTAAAAATAATTAGATTAGCAAATATAAAATAAAATGCTATATAACTGATACTCTATACTGCACACAGGATCTCACGAGGCCACCTCTGCCTTTATTTAATAAGAGGCAGAATTAGTATAAGCTGTAATTCTGCACCTGCTCTATGAATATTTGCCTTAGGGAGACACTCCCTGTAAAACAATGCACCCCAGAGCTCCTGTGATGAACAGGACTCATGTTCTGCCCATTATGAGCTGCAGTTCAAGAAGCACCTTTTGCTGACCAGCTCTTTGCAGGATATGTGAAGAGCTGAGCTCAGAATAAGAAGGCCCTTCAGCTCCCTGACACTTCTCCTTGCCTTCCACCCAGTTCGCAGGCAATCCTACCATCCTATACCCTCCAAGGGTATCACTCACTTGCTCACCTATGTATGTCTGCCATGTGCCAGTAACAGTGCTGGGTGGGGAGATACAAGAGTAAAGTACAATCCTATTTTAAGTTTATTATCTACCACCTAAGAAGGGCCTCCAAATGGTATGCTAGGTAAAATTATTATTAGATTACTGAGAAAAAAAAATTAGATGACCCCTCTGTGAAACCCTGTCTATCGGTTCACAAATGAGGTGAGTCTTGTCTAAGTTCAAAAAAACCAACTCAAGATTATCAAAACATCAAACTTTTGAAAAAGGCTCTTGTAACAATGTAACTTTCTTTCACTGTAACCTATGTCCCCCCAAAATAAACAAAGGTCCTTCTTTTAGGCCTAACCAAAATCTTTAATCCTTACTTTGTTCCAGTATTATTTTGTACTTCAAAAGTAATATTTATTGTAAAAATGGGAAACATATGACAGAAAATCTCCTGTAATCCTATTCCTCTGGGAGTAATTATTATCTAAGATGTGGTGTATCTGTCTATAATTTTTTTTTCTATAGTACATGTATTATTATCTAGGCATTTTGCAAAACAAAAACAGGATAATTTTATATCCATTTCTTTGTAGTTTGCTTTTCTACTTTTCTTATTCAGTATTGGTTGGGTGCCTGCTACACATCAAACAAGCTAGATGCTGGGAATACTTCAGTGAACAAAGCAAAGAACTTTGCCCCCATGGTACTTTTACTGCAGCAAGGAGATGGAAACAGTAAACAATAAATATAATAGATAAGTAGTTCATGGGGTATATTGGAAGGCAAGAGGTACTACTGAAAAAGGAAAAAGTACAGCAAGGTTGGGCACTTCAGGTGTGGGCAGAGGGACATAGGTTGTAGCATGAAACAGGAGGGTGAAGTTGGGGAGGGTGCCATGACCGTCTCCAACAACTGGATTTTACATATTCTAATAGTTCTTCCAACTTGAGTAATATACATTGGTCTTTAAGAAACAGCAGTACCACTGGATAAAATACCCCTGTATTAATGCCCACTATTGCAAATATTACCTAAATTTGAACTCTCTGAATAGTTCATTTATTCTGAGTAACCCTAGCTAAAACAAAAGAATTTGAAGAGCCCATGTAATCTTGGCATTTTATTCAAATACAAAAACACAGTATCGTTCCTCTGTGTGTATTTTTCCTTTCTGTTCTTCTTTCTCCCCTGCGTTTGCCTCTGCTCTGCCAACATGACCCTTGTTGGCACCCAGTGAGCTCTAAGGAGCCACCTTCCTCCCCCAGCTGCTGTAGGCTTGACTGTCCAGGAACTGTCCGTCCTCCCTCTCCCAATCTTGGTTGCAATATCCCATTCCCTCAGGGCTCTGTTGTCTGCTGTGCCAGTAACAGTGCTGGGTGGGGAGATATAAGAGTAAAGTACAATCCTATTTTAAGTTTATTATCTACCACTTAAGAAAGGCCCTCAGGGAAAAGGACCAAAAAAATCAAGAGAAGGGTTAAGGCTGGTAATTGTTCATTGTGTTTTACCTTTGAAGTGGCATTTCTTCTCTAAGGGCTGCTTTTGGTACCTGTAATCTGCTGGTTATTAACACAGTGGAATCTCGGTTCTCGAACTTAATTTGTTCCAGAAGGTTGTTCGAGAACTGATTTTTTCGAAAAGCTAATCATTTTTTTTCACTTCTCTCTATATAAAAGCCTAAGTGATGAACAATCGAACGAGCGGTTGACCAGTTGCTATGACGCGCACTGACCACCAGGGGACAGATGCTCAATGCACAGGATTGGGCTCCCTCCTGTCTGGATTAGGCCTGCGAGGATTGGGCCAAAACCAGCTATCCAACATCCTGCGAGGGGTCCTATATTGCGAGAGGGCGCAGGCTAGGCCGAGGAACCCCACTGGTGTATGAATCCGTGCACCAGGCCGCTAGTTAGAAACAAAGTAAATTGAGTTAATCCATTCTAGGCCTCCAAATGATTCCATTTTAATCTTTCCAAATTGCCTGTGACCCTTGTTTCATGAGCACTTTCACATCCTTAGCAACATTAGCACTCTTGATGGCCCCTTTATGTTTTAAAATTGTGCTAATCGCCCAGTTGTGGTGGCTCAGTGGACTAAGCGTCTTCCCATGGACCAAGAGGTCCCAGGTTCTATTGGTTCCAGGTTCTATTCCCAATCAGGCAGGTTGTGGGCTCAATCCCCAGTAGGGGGCATGCAGGAGGCAGTGGATCAGTTATTCTCTCTCATTGATGTTTCTATCTCTCCCTCTCCCTTTCTCTATGAAAATCAATAAAAATATTTTTTTAAAAAATCGTGCTAATCATCAATTTTGCCATGCCATACTTGGTAGCTAGATCACGCACACGAACACTTCTATCATACTTTGCAATTATTTCTTTTTAAAGCTTTATCATTGTTCACTTTGCTGCTATCATTAACCTTCTTAGGACCTATGGTGAATTACTGTATATACTTAATAATAAACAGCAACAAAAGCAAAAAACCACAAAAATATTCACAGCACAATTTCCTGATATGTTAACAATGTGAGGTTTAGCAGTAAACTGACTCATACTTGCTCATTATCTCTTTTGTCACCTGAGAGATACATGACTGATCGTAAGGTAGCATGAAAGGCTGTCGGGTCAAGAAGTTTTGTTCAATAACCAAGATGTTTTTCTGTGAACAACTTGGTTGAGAACTGAATTGTTTGAGATAAGGGATGTTTGAGAATAGAGGTTTGACTGTATAGGTTTTTAGTTGATGATTTGCAGGGAGGTGCATGGAGGGAAAAGCATAGAATAACTTCATATGTTTCCCAACTCATACCAAATTCTGGGCCAGTATACCACCTACACACAGTCTCTCAAATTCCAGGAGTGGGGGCATTGAACAAGGGGGCAGGGGAAGGAGAAAAGAGGTAATCAGTGCCCTTACAGGACTAGACACAGGGGCCACCCAAATGTGCTTGATTTTGGAGGACTAATGCCCCACCCCAAGTCCCACACACTGCAGCAGATCTCACTATTGCATTAAAGGGGTCCAGGCATTATTTTTAAACCTAAAGGCTTTAAATTTAAGTAGCAATGATGCTACTTCAATACGAAGTATTCAAAGTCTCCTAGCCATCCACTCTGTCTCTTTTTTGTATTTATTTATTTTTATTTCAAAGAGGAAGGGAGAGGGAATTTGAAATAGGATGCCAGGAATTCCTTTATAGGCTCACTCAGGTAGCAGAAATACAGCACAGGTAGGCAGTTCAGCATAGAGGCAGGTAGTTCAGTGCAGGCTACTCCTTGAAGTGCAGTCTGTGCCAGAGGCCCCTGTGCAGAAATGGCTAAGAGAGAAAGAGAGAG